TTTCTTTTTTTAGAAACAAACCTATTAACATCATTACGGTTTATGCTTCATCTGATGGTGAAGATGATGATGAAATAATCAACATTATTATTCACCTTCTACTAAAATGTGAAAATGAATTCAACATTGTGCTAGGAGATTTCAATATCAACACAAGGAAACCACAAAATTCGAGAGAAAAAGAATGGAAAGAACTTATTGAGTGTTTCCAACTCAAAGAACTAATCATCCCAGAGAATTACACATACGTCAGAAAAGTCATCAACTCAGTTCAAAAATCACGACCTGATCATATCTTCGTTTCTAACAACATCAGAATAATCAGAGAAGTTATTTTGCCACCAATATCCAAAAATGATCATCTACCGTTCTATATTGACATTGAGTTCGAAACAGACTATTGTTGGAGAAACTTCATCTCTAGGAAAGATATGAATCAAATCTCAACAACATTGAACGAATCACACTATGATTCATTTGATGCACTTCAGAAAGACATATCAGAAATGGTTAACAAATTTTCTTTCAAAGACGATAAGACCAATCTCAAATACATTAACACAATCAATAAGAAAGAAATCAAAACCAAAGAAATAGAACTCCTCCATCTTGTAACACAAGGAAAAGGTCAAAATATCGAGGAAATTGAAAAACTAAGAAATAATATCAAAGTACTATACAAGGAAACTGGAGCTGATATCAAAGCAAAACTAAGTGAAAATTTCAACAAACATGACAGCTCAATGATTTACCAGTTTGACAAACATCTAAAAGAAAAATCAATAGATTGGAAAAATATCCAATTCTCTGAAGAAGAAATTGTGCATCATTTTGAAACAAAATTTACCTCAGTATCCAAATCATCAGACTTTGAAAATCCACCATCAACCGTCAAGAAAGGACCGAAAATACCACAAATAAGCCTTAAAACAATTAAAGAGGCGATATCGAGAATGAAATCCAACACACCCGGTCTAGACTCAATATCCTTCCAAATTATACGTAATCTCAAAGACGAACATCTACAACTTATTGCTGACCAATTTGAAAACTGCATTCAACAAGGTAATATCCCTGAAGAATGGAAATCTGGTTGGGTTAAATTACTCCCTAAAAGAGACATTCAAAAACTAAATGATATTAGACCCATAACCATTCTCCCAATATATTACAGAATACTTTTCAACATAATTGCATACGAATTAAGACAATGGGCTTCCAAACACATCAACTTAAGGCAACAAGCATTTATTTCACACAGAAACACAATGAATCACGGATTATTACTTTCATCTCTAGCCAAAAGAACAAGTCGTCACTCCTTTTGGTAAACTTAGACATCGAAGGCGCCTATGATTCCGTTGAAGATCATATCATTGAAAAAGCTCTCACTCATTGTAAGTTTCCAGATGAGTTGAAAACTTTTATACTAAACTCATACAAGAGTCAAATATTACAGCTAGAAATTGATCACCATCTCTCTAGACCATTCACAAAAACAAGAGGAATACCACAAGGATGCCCTTTAGCTCCTCTTATATATGATTGTATTACTCAACTCATCATTGACAAATGCATACAACAATGGAAAATTTCAATCAAACCAACCAAGCTTAATATTAACGATATTGGTTTGCTCTGCTTTGCTGATGACATTAATTTAGTTTCAAACAGATACTGCAATTATAACGAAAGACTTGATAATATCTCTAAATGGCTCGGCCAATTAAGTCTAAAAATTAATCCTTCAAAATCCATGGCAACCACTCTCCCAACTAAAAGCAAAATGAAGCCAATGATAGACGGTACTATTATACCAAGATTCAAAAACCTTCGAGTACTTGGACACTATCCTTGGGATGACTCTACTTTAAATGAAGATATTGAAAAAGAATCCTCCAATTTCAACTCTCACTCAAATATATTCCACTGAAAAGAATGGAGATAACAAACATTAAGAAAGTAATTTTGCCAAATGCACTAGCTTATTTACACACATTTTACGAACAAATTACATTCCTGAATCACTTGTTGATAGAATTAACATTGAAGTAAGAAAAGCAATAAGAAAGAAAATTTTCATGCATAATGCTAGTCCAACAAACTATTTTCACCTCCCAATCACCTATGGCGGACTTGGTATTCCAAGATTCGATATCTTTGCAGATGAAATTCGAATCAAAACAGCCCTGTATCTTATTAACAATGATAATGAACTTCTTAGAGAAGTATATTCAGAAGGAATCAAACACGAAAATTCGATTTTTAAGGAAATGAACAGATCAATGAAGAAATACAAGATCAGACCTCAACAATTTAACAATGACGAAATCTTTCCAAAACTCAAAGGAAAGAATTTTACTATTTACACTGACGGATCAAATCTCAACAACTCAACAGGTTTCGGCTTTACCGCCAAAGTTAACAATTCCCAAGAAACCCAAGATTTCTCATACAAAATTAACAGCGAATACTCACATAACGTTGCTGAATTATCAGCAATACTCACATCACTAAAGATACTTCCACCTAAATCTAAGGCAAAAATTCACACAGATAGTGAAATATCCATCCACGTTTTGAAAAACAAAGCCTATAACGGAATTTTTAACTGCTTCAAGCATGAATATCAACAGGTCATTCAACAATCCAATCTAAATATTCAACTAATCAAAGTTAAAGGTCATGTCAACAAAGGAAACATCAAAGCTGACGAATTAGCTAAGAAAGGAGCTCAAGAGCACAACTATTTTGACATTAAGAAGCTATTTTCGAACCAAACCATCCTTGCCACATCTAATACCATTATTTTCGACATCAAAAATCCATACAAAAGAAAAGATATGATGTAATGTTTAGCCAATTTGATAGAGATAATTCCAGTCTACACCTTACCAAGAACTGGTCATCTATCAATCTAAAATTCATCAAATCTAAAATTGACACAAATACTAAGTGGTCAATCTGGAGAAACTTAACAAGCAACCATATCAAACAACATAAGGAAAGACAATGCGCTCACTGTAAATGCCCCGGAACTCTAAAACATTTCATATACTATTGCCCTAATACTCAATGCTTTAGAGATTTTTTCTACACTAAATTCCTAGATATTACATCAATGCAATGTATCCTCAACGATTATCAAGAATCAAGATACTGTGAAAGAAGGAAAGTTTTCATTATTCATCATGACGGAGTAATGATTCGAGATACTCAAATGCCCAACTTTAAAAATTTACCAAATATTTACCAAAATTGGCCTGAAATCCAAACAATTCTCACCCTACTAGTTGGTAAATGTCACACCAAGTATTATGAAAACTCAAGGTTTAAAAAAACCAATTCAAAAACAAACCCCAATCCTCACGGATTTACCAGCACCAGTGGTGCTAACAATAAACTAATTAGATTTTTTTT